GGCGATGAGCAAATTCTGTTTGACAGTGCAAAAACATGATTTTTGTTGTTTTACCTTATGAGCTTTGTTATTTATGCAAGTCTTTAGCTGTGCAACTGTACATTGTAATATTTTGTGCTTCATAATGTTTTCAATAGGAGGCAGGTCTGGACTGCAGGCAGGCCAGTCTAGTATCTATAGAATATGGCTTGGTGTTGTCATGTTGAAATGAGCATGGACGTCCCTGAAAATGACGTCTCGAAGGCTTTCGATGATGCTCCAAAATGTGCTTCTATCTTTCAGCGTTAGTGGTGCCTTTACAGGTGGGAGTTATCCATGCCATGGATACTAATACACCCCCATACCGTAAAGGACTTTTGAACTTTACACTGGTAACAATCTGGATGGTGCTTTTCTTCTTTCTTGAAAAGTGGCTTCATCGTTCCTTTTTGCTTTCGTCTTCATAGGTCATCCATCTGTTCTGATGATGTATTAGAATGATGACAAACAAGATCTGATCACTGTACTGCACTGTAGACCATCATGGAGATGTGAAACTGGTTGTGGAAGGTAGGATGTCCGTGTTCTCATAGGTGGACATCTTGCTGTTGTTGGAGTAACAGACCTTACACCAGTAGCCACCAGCCCTCCTCCTGGAGACTAGTTGCTGCACCCTCTTTACCTAAGATTACTGCATCTGGTCCAGCCTATGAAGACCCTTTATTTTTCTGGGTGGTGCCTTTCTTCTTTCTTTTTATTGAAATACAGATCAAAGTGAATTTACAAATCTTTGCATTCTTTTTTACTTGCTTTTCTCCACGTTTCTCCACTGGAAATTTGGGTGTGTATTTACATCTGAATAGTACAGCAAGACGATAATAATAATAAGGCTACAGCTACTCCTCTAAGACTTAACCTAAAGATGTGGCACATAACTGGACAACAGATGTGACAAGAAGCACAAAGAAAACGTGATTGGCGAGATGATATTTTGCATGTGGGATTCATTGTGGTGGGATTGTATAGGCTAGGTGTGGTCGAGTCAAAAAGCTGCCCTATATCCCTGCTGCTATTTTCTCCTGCTGAACTGATGGGGGCTGAGGGAGCATTTAAATTCCCTTTGTGCAGGAGGACGGGGGATCTTGACACAGACATGAGAGGAAGAAATTGCGGCGAGGGGACTCGAATCATCTGGGCTCCTCTGCCCTTGATGTTGATTGAAAATGCCAAAGGACAGCACTCAAAGTCATCAAAGTGAATGCATGAGAATTTCTGATTTCAGAGAGCCGGCCCTGTCACGAGGGCCAGCAAATGAGTCCATTATAACCTTCAGCTTCTCAGTGGGACTTTCAGACTCTTACATTTGATCCTCAGTTCTCCAGCTCTTCATGTCGCATATATTTAAAGATGTGAACTACAATATAGATCCATTATTGACTTGATTGGTCATTACATGCTGAATTTCATATAAAAGATTTATTTGGACAGACACGATAAATATTACAGTTGTCCACAATAGGGTCATATTTATAAGAACGTCACAATGCTTTGTACAACTTAACGACTAAGCAGCGTCTTGCCAGGAAAGGACGGGGACATGACTCTGTTATTGAGATTTTCCAAAGCACAACACCACCATTAAACATAAGAAAAGGGGGTTAGACCAGGACAATTATAATTTACAAATAAATAAAGAAAACAAACATTCATGCAGAAAAAAGCCTCTTGATCACATAAAAACGAAGTGCCGTGAGGTAAGGCATGGTTATCTGAGCGGAGGAACAAAGAAAGTGTAACATCATTCACTTCTCGTCATTGTTCGAAGTCATTATTCTGTTAAGCTCTTTCCGTAAATCCTCACCAAATAGAAAAGGCAATGGCTTCAGTTCATCACATGGTTATGTCGATGCGGAGGTCCACTTTGGAAAAAACAAACATGAACAAAAAAAAGTGCTTCGTCATTCCTCTTCACTTTCCTTCATTTTGTCTCCATAAGTTGTCCATCTGTTTTGATGATGTGGTAGAACGTGATGTCTAAGATCTGATCACTGTACTACACTGTAGACCATCATGGAGATGTGAAACTGCTTGTGGAAGGTGGGATTTCCATGTTCTCGTAGATGGACATCTTGCTCTTGTTGGAGTAACGGACCTTACACCAGTGGCCACCAGCCCTCCTCCTGGAGACTAGTTGCTGCCTCCTCCTTACCTAAGATTACTGCATCTGGTCCAGCCAATCAGGGACTAAGAAGTTAATGAGTTGGTGTGACAAACTGTGGTTGGAACTAGACTCTGCTGGAAAGTAGATCTCCAGGAATATGGCTGGAGACCACTGCTTTACACTCTTTAAACTAAAGGTTCCTTAAATGGTTCTTGGCTTGGATGTAAGATTCTGGGAAAACTTTAGTGGCTCTGTGGGAGTATGAAGAACCTTTGTTTTTAAAGGCTGATTTACACTTCTGAATGTCTGTGAACATGTGCAGGCATTGTATGTTGATGTTCACATAGGTGTCTACCAACATACTTGCATGTAGTGTCAATGCATGCACTAAGTATCAGTGTCCAAACCAGAATGGAAAAAAAATCTCGCATTGTTCCAGTATCTCTCAAAGAAAGAATACTCGCTTCATTGTTTTTATAGGTTGTATTATTTATTAACATTGTCTCAACACCCCTGATTCTGTCCAGAACTCCAACTCCCAGAATCCTCTGGAGGGTATCACATGACCATGGACTCTGAGCCATCTACCTATCCACGCTCCAGCTCATCTGATTATTGATTGTTGTCACCTGTTCATGGGCCCACATAACCTGCTTGTTTCCATAGCCTCCTTGCCAAGTATTGTATCAGTCTCTTGTGCATTACTGAGCATTTTGCTCCAAGGTTTGACTTCCCGGTTTGTTTTCTCGCTCGTACGATTTTAGCCTGACCCTTTTTTGACTCTGTGTTTCCTCTTTCATGTTGTGACCTTTTGCTTGTGTCTTTCACTCTGACTTAGCTTAGACTGTATTGCCTTGTTTGCCTGTGTATCACCTTTTGCCTGTTTTTTTTTCTTTGTTTTTTGGATTATCCCTTTGTTAAACATTTTAACCACAGCTTTCTCTGTGAGCATCTGACTCCTACAAAGCCGTCACACATTGCATCTCTTGCCAGCTGATCCTCAAACTACTCCATTTGAGTTTGTGCTAGTTCTGGTTCTGATTGAGGATTGTTTGGGTCTTGTCCCATGCACAATACTACCAGATAGCCAGTTGGTGCCTCTCCAATGCTTTCCTGATTCATACAACGCGTAGTTGAGGTTTTGGAGGTATGCCTGTCATGCAAGCCTTCATGAGCCTCAGTGAGCTATGGTTACCCATGCACCCCTTTTATGCATTTTGATGTTTATGTGCATCTTTGCAGAAGCATAAATCAGCCTTAGGTGTGTAGGTGGGAGCTAGTGATGTTAGGGGTGGGCAACATGACGGTATGACATTATCATGTCACGTCTGTTTTCTGAGCATGTTGTGGATACTGTCCGTGCCTTCAGAACACTGGCCAACAAGGTTTAGGAAAGAATACCAAGAGCCGCAGCTGGCTAAGGTTATGCTCTATTGCTGGGAGGTCGTGAGATTTAAGCCAGATGATGGCAGCAGTCCAAGATAGTTAGCCCTGCTTAATTAGGTGTAGTGCTGAGATGTTGAACAGAAAAAATGGGTAACACTTTATTTGGAGTGGTCCTTTGTAGATGATTAATAAACTCTTAATAAAGTGTCAGTATCACATCATCAACATATCACTGAAGTAGTGGTCAGGCTGCATCTGAATACATTGAAGGAAATATCTTGTGGATGCTCTGTTGATAATTACTTACATTAAGTAGAAGTGTTGTTGATGTTACATGAAGTAGACTTAATATGGTGCTTCCATTAAGCAAAACCTAACCCTCACCCTGGCCCTAATCCTAACCTCAACCTTAACCTCAATCCAAAACCTAATCCTCACCCCAGCCCTAATCCTATTCCTAACCTTATCCTCAATCCAAAACCTAATTCTAATCCTAGCCCTAATTCTAACCCCAACCTTAACATCTTTCCAAAAACAAATTTTAACCCTGGCCCTAAACCTAATCCAAACCCTAGCGCAAAACCTAATTCTAACCCTGGCCCTAATCCCAATCCAAACCCTAACCTTAACCTCAGCTCAAAACCTAATCCTAACCCTGGTCCTAATCCCAACCCTAACCCTAACCTTAACCTCAACCTCAAAACCTAGTCCTCACCCTGGCCCTAATCCTAACCTAAACCTCAATCTCAACCTCAAAACCTAATTTTAACCCTGGCCCTAATCCTAATCCAGTGAAGATCCAGTTCCAGAATGGTGTCAGCAGTGTGGATGTTGAGATGGTGTGTATTAAACCAGTTACATGTTCAGTACCTCTCAGTAAAACATCTACAGATTTGAACTTGGACACCAAATAAACTGAAAAACAACTGGATTCAGCAGATTATAATACATTTTATTTACACTGTTAATTAAAAGTCTCTTGATAATCTATTGAATGAATTCACGGGTGACATCATTGATATGTGATATGATTTCACTGAGAGTCTGTTGAGTGGTTATTTCATCTGAAAAGGATCCCTCAAAAAAGTGTCACCAAAAAAAAAGTTACTTGTGATTTTTCAAATTTTGGCATTACTCATGCATACTGTATTCCAACTTATTAAACCATAGAATATTGGTATATTGCAAAATTTTATCCATATTGCCCACCCCTAGGTGATGTGGACCATGGTGGTTGAACTCCACTCCTGTACTAATGAAGGTCTAGATGATAACTCCCAAAGTCCTCATGAGTGTTAGATCAGAGGAAACACTACTGACCACATTCTGAAGATCATGAAGGACTCTCTAGTGTTGCTCTTTGAGTTCTCCATGTTCCAACCTTTGGCAAAAGAAACACAAACGAGAAAACAGAAAAACAAATACCTCGTCATGACATACCCACCACATTCCTCAAATCTCCTTCAACGTGTCTTTATGAGTCATCCTCCGTTTTGATGACGTGGTACAGCGTGACGTTGAATATAACCTGGTGGCCGTTGTTCCAGGCATAGAGCGCCCTCTCCCGAGCATTGTAGTCCAGCATGGAGATGTGAAAGTACTGGTTGTGGAAGGGGATGTCCGTGTACTCGTAGGTGGACGTCTTGGTGTTGTAGGAATAGTAGACCTTGGCGCCGGTCAGGTGGGAGTTGGTGATGTACAGTGTCCCGCAGATCATGAAAGATTCTCCAGCGTTGCGCTTGGAGTACTCTGTGTTCCACGTCCGCTGAACCTCCAGCGTCTGCGGCTCCAGCTGGGAGATCACGATGTTCCCGGCATTCTGATTGGTGGCGTAGACGGCCCACAGGCCCAGCTCGTCGGCCATAAGGTCGATGTCGGAAAAGCCGCCCCAGGTGTATGGGTACACGTTGTGGAAGCCGGCGTACTCTAGTGCCCGCTGGGCCAGGACCCGGCCCGTCTCGAAGCTGTACTTCACTATGATGTTGCTCTGCTCCTTGTTGTAATACAGTGAGCCATTGTACACCACGTGGTTGGTCCCGGCCCACTTGAATGGAAGGTAGTAGGTCCGGGACTCCAGGCCTGAGACAAAGTCTGCCATGGACTTGTACTCACGCACCACCTTGCTGTTGGTATAGGTGTCCATGTACCATACCTGTATCACAGAGATGAAGGAATTCAGGAGTCTTGCAGATCAAACAGCATTTATCTCGACTGCCCATTGCTGTATATTGCGGTCATTTCATGAATTTTCAAACTTTTTGTCATATAACAATAAACATATAATAATGCAACACTGCTTAATGCAAAGATCTTCGCTTTATAAGTACTTGTTGGTCACCAAATTACCACTATGAGTCTTATTTAGCACCAACCCAGTGGCGCCCCTCTTCTCACACTGGGGCTGAATCTCAAATAGCACCCTGCTCCCTACATAGTGCACTACGTAGGAGTTTAAATACTGGATGCTGCAGCCCAACAGAGCGAAATACAGCTAAGAAACAGTCATTTGGGATTCAGACACATCCACACTCGATACATGATGCACTGTTTGGCTGTAGAGGCTAGAATTTCTAAACTTTCATAGCTAGAACACTATTTAGGGAGTACAGAGCCGTTTGGGATTCAGCCTGGGTTTGACGCGACTTCTGACTGAAACATGAACATTTGAAGTGTGTTTTCATTTCAAGTGACATTTTTAGACTTTTATACTGCCGTTTTACAGTAAATCACACCGTAAGTACTTTAATTCGAGGCTGTGATATTAATAATGGAGTTGTTTAGGCTGTTTGCTCTTTTAGCCTGTTAGCTAGCAGACCAGCCTAGTTCTAGTTAAGAACATAAGATGTCAGCCCCTCAGTTTAAACAAAAAATGGGTTTTACTTCATCAGCACACTCAATGGTCCATGCAAGCAACATTAGAGTCAAAGATTATTCCATTAACAGCACAAGGGTTTTTTTTGTGCCGTAGCTTAGCATGAATACACAGTTCAGTTGTTGTGTGGTGGTCATAGGTGTGAGTATATCGTGTGAGTATATCATAGGTGTGAGTATAACGGTTATAAAAAGGATTTATAACCGTTTAAAAGCATGAACAACAAAACAAGCCAAGTTAGTTCTACATTGCTTTGAATCACTGCATTCTGGATATGATGCTAAGTGTTTTAGTGAGGTAGCCAAGTTATCCTATATTAATGGTACTTTCTGAAGCAGCATTAACTACTGTGAGGCAGAGCTTGAGTTGGCAGCTCTTGTGGCTGTTTACAGGCAGCCAACTGGAATATTAGCCTGTAGCCTTTAGCATTATGCAGTTCAAACTTGCAGAACAGTACTTTACTCACGGGTAAAATAATATTGCTCAAAGTGTGAAAGAGCACCTAGGCTAGCATGCATATAAAAACTTTAATACATATTTGATACCTCGGTATTTAATCATTATAAGCCTTTCACCACTTTGCATTAAACTAACTTAGGTTAAGTTAAGCTTGTATCTGTATAATCTGACATATTAACAAGTGTACAAACAGCACATAATAAGCAAGCTTGTTTTATCACAGAAGAGCCCAGCATGGTTAGCAAAATGGGACATTTCTGTAATGCTATTTTTGTGAGTGAAAAATGTTACAAGAGTGTTTCTAAAATACAATCACAGTGTAAACACACAGTGCTGTATTGCTTGCTGTGTTACTGGTATAAAGGCTGACTTCAATCAATTAATAGCAAGTGTCACTGCCTTTCAGCTGCACTTTAGAGATGCGCTGTACAAATTAGCAGACAGGTGTTGATGAATAGGTAGAGCTAACCTAAAGCTGGTCATGGCATCAGCATTAAACATTTAACATTCTAACACTGTGTTGGGAATCCACTGGTGGAACCAACCATGGGAAATCCCACTGGTGGGAGCACATTTTCTATGAACCATGAGCTACAAGTGAAAAACTATCAACATAAAATTTGCACTGCAGACGGACACTCCACTATGCACGCGCAGCGTCCAGTCTGCATTTAAACACAAAATGGCCATCATACACTGTGGTGCAATCCTCCAACGGCGTATCATATTTCCTCCACTAATTAATTATCTCAGATTAGTTCTGGTCTAAACATAAACATGCATATAAAAACTTTAATATTTGTTTGATACCTCGGTATTTGATAAATATAAGCCTTTCACCTCTTTGCATTAAAATAACTTGGGTCAAGTTAAACTTTGGCTAGCTTACTGCATGTTGTATATCTGATGCATATTAATGAGCATAAAACATCACATAATAAGCTTGTTTCATCACAGAAGAGCCCAGCATGGTTGGCAAAACGTCACATTTCCGTAATGCTTTTTTTGCGAGTGAAAAATGTTATGAGTGTTTCTAAATTACAATCAGAGTGTAAACACACAGTGCTGTATTGCTTGCTGTGTTATCGGTATAAAGGGCTGACTTCCATCATAATTGCAAGTGTTGCAGCCTTTTAGCTGCATTTTAGAGATATGCTGTACAAATTAGCATACAGATTTTGAAAAATGGGTAGAACTAAAGTTGGTTATGGCCTCAGCATTAAACATTTAACATTCTAACACTGTGTTGAGAACCCACTGGTGGAACCGTACCATAGGAACCAACCATGGGAAATCTCACTGGTGGAAGCACATGATAATTTTCTACGAACTGTGAGCCACAAGTGAGAAATAATCAACATAAAATTTGCACTGTAGAAGGACACTCCACTATGCATGCACAGCGTCCAGCATGTATTTAAACACAAAATGACCATCATACACTGTGGTGCAATCCTCCAACGGCGTATCATATTTCCTCCACTAATTAATTATCTCAGATTAGTTCTGGTCTAAACGATTATGGGTGGGAAAAAAAGCCTTTCCTCAGGAACAGAGAGAGAAGACAAGCAAACGAATCCCTGCAGAACTCACTCTGTTGTTTCTCGGAGACGCCAGTGGGTCAGTCATCCATGCGCCGAACCGGGTCCCAGATGTCTTTACAGTCACGGGTCCTGTGATTTTCATTAATTTCCCGCACGCTGTAATAACGAAACACACCGATAAGATGTAGGGCAATTTTTTTTTTCTCCTTCTAACGAGATTCCTGAAGCCAATTTCATGGCTGCTCTGATGATGCGTGTTACTGTGTTCTGCATATTAAAAGAGTATTGCCACCGAAATATGAAGCAGCTTAGCACATCTACCCCCCCAGACTGGGACACAATTAGCACAGCTATCAATAATGAATTCAAACATCTGTTCGACTTGCTTTGAGCAGCTTATTAATGCTGGTAAGTTTTTAGCAAATCTGTTTCAGGCCCAAAGGTGGTATTTAAAAGTATTTAACATTGTGTCATTCTGAAAGTATTGAGTTTTGCTATATTGCATTTAAGGAAAATGTGCATCAGAAATGTACTTATCTTTATTAGCCCGAGGCTAATCAGTGGAATGGGTATGAACATATTCCTGAGTTTCTGATTGCCTGCGTAATGGGAGCGTATTAGAGCGAACTGGGCTAAAACATGACCCAACTCATCCAGTTACAAGGCAAACACGGCAGCATGCTGGAGGTAATGCCCAGTAATGAACTTGCTCTCCCACTAATCACATACATATGCTGCGGAAACAAAGTGGTGAAGGTTTGAAAGTGGCAGAACCTTTGCTCTAACAGAAATGCATCTGAGGGAGCAGTGAGCTGTTGCGTCCTGTCTCAGGTGTCATGAGTTGTCAAAACCAATTCCTGCAGGGTGATGCCTCAGCGCCCCCGGGCTGACCCCTGCTCTATGTTAATACCAGCCTTCGCAGAACCTGTCTGACTGAAAGCTGCTTCGGAGAATATGAATTAGAATCAGGCCAGAATGGAAGACACGCTCAGGATAGTTAATTTTATTACTGGTACAGGGAACAAGAACGTGGAATGATAGGCCTCTGTGCTAAGCATTAGCAGTGCTTGTAGGAGTTGCAGTCATCCTGGTAATGATAGCTGGTAGCGCAGTAGGGAAATGGTCATTGTGATGGTTATGATCGTAATAGGAAAATGATGGCCATACCAATAACGATGACGGTAATGATTGTGACATTGACTGAATTTGCTCATAACACTGATGATATGGTGGTCAGGATAATGACAGTCATTACTAGTGTTTGTGGTTTAGTTGTAACGCTTTTGAAACATGAGTTATGATTTCCCGTTCACGCTGACTTTGAGTTGATTTCAACAATGCTTAAAGTTAAAAAAAAAAGTGATGTTTAAACTTTGGTGGCATACGATTATGTTCGATACATCTCTACAATGTAATTATTTAGATGAGTCGTGTGTTTATTGTTGAAAATTTTAGTGAGTAGGCTTTGCCTAAAATGTCCACTATAACATAGCATGTTTGTATATGTGTGTGTGTGTTAGTTGTTGTAACGGTACTGACTAACATTAATTATAACGATAGCTGCAATGTTAGTTGTTGTAACGGTGCTGACTAATGTTAATTATAAGGATAGCTGCAGTGTTAGTTGTTGTAACAGTGCTGACAAACGTTAATTATAACGATGGCTGCATTGTTAGTTGTTGTAACAGTAACGACAAACGTTAATTATAACGATAGCTGCAGTGTTAGTTGTTGTAACGGTGCTGACAAACGTTAATTATAAGGATAGCTGCAGTGTTAGTTGTTGTAACGGTGCTGACTAATGATAATTATAACGATAACTGCAGTGTTAGTTGTTGTAACAGTAACGACTAACGTTAATTATAACGATAACTGCAGTGTTGGTTGTTGTAACGGTGCTGACTAACGTTAATTATAACAATAGCTGCAGTGTTAGTTGCTGTAACGGTGCTGACTAACGTTAATTATAACAATAGCTGCAGTGTTAGTTGCTGTAACGGTGCTGACTAATGATAATTATAATGATAACTGCAGTGTTAGTTGTTGTAACGGTAAGGACTAACGCTAATTATAACGCTAACTGCAGTGTTAGTTGTTGTAACGGTAACGACTAACGTTAATTATAACGATAACTGCAGTGTTAGTTGTTGTAATGGTGCTGACTAATGATAATTATAACGATAACTGCAGTGTTAGTTGTTGTAACGGTAACGACTAACGCTAATCATGATGATAGCAGCTGTGTTAGTCATCATAACGGCACTAAGGTTAATTAAAATGACTGTGACAGTGGTTATGAATGTAACAGTACTGATTAAAGTCAACCTGTAATCAACATGGACCTTTTTTTCCTTAGTTCTCATTATTGTTTCTGGCATGATGTTGTCATGTTTAAAGATTGAGTTCAGTTGAAAGACTAAATTCTTGTTTTACTGCAGTATTTTAGGCAAAATATATTGACTGTTGTCAATCTAAAACATCTGGGGCCGTATTACAGAAAATTCTTAAGTCTGAGATCTTATCTTATCTGCTTTTTTGTCATAGTAACTTCGGTTAAGACTGAAGTTAGGACAAAAGCTATTACAGAACAACAGTTCTTAAGTCTATAATCTTCTCTTATTTCCAGATAAAAAAAACGGTTTTACAGAAACATCCTAAGTTGCCAAAATATCCTAAAGATTTTCTTAACTTTAAGATAAACCCCAGAACTTCTGTTTTAACTGTCTGTTTCTACTGTTTTATGCAGTGTCAGGCAGCACAGTTCACTATAACCAGACTAATGATGCTACATTTATCTACACTGAAAACGGTGCTTTGACTGAGGTTTTTTTGAACAGCGTTTTTTAAAAACTTGGACGCTGCAGACACAACCTCCACCGTCCCTCTGATTACCTTCACGTATTAATGTTGATGAAAACTCGTCAGATAAAATATTACAGTGATGGTGGTGAATAATGAGGAGACAGAGCTGAACGTGTCTGTTTATGAAGAGGAATAACGTTAGCGCCCCCGGCTAAATCGTTTGTGTAATGAAACTGAAAGTGGAGATTGGCGACGCTTTGATAAACAGCACAAAGTGCTGACACAATATTCTCAACTTTCAGGTTATCACAACTTAGTTTTTGACCTTTTTCTGCCTCAGTAACGGTAGCTAATGTTAGCTGACTGGCTAACTAACTTGATTACGTGTTTACCTGTCAGCTGTGCACGTAGGGTCGGTTACTAGGTAACAGACACAACAGTTGATTGTCGACATCAATCAAGAAAGTTAAGATTTCCTAACTTTTTTTAAGAAAAGATGCTGTAAGATAAGATTCTTAAATTAAGATCAGATTCGCTTCTGTAATACGAATTTGTGAAAAATCCTATCTTGACCTGTCAGATCTTAAGTTAAGACAAAAAGATAGGTAGTTTCTGCAATGCGGCCCCTGATTTTTAAATTATGTGACCTTGTACGAGCGGGAGAGGCGAAATAATATTAACCAATAAAGCCATGTTTCACCTCCCCCTCTCACCCCGACCTATCATCAAGAGAAACTGCTCAGCTAGATCAGAGACTGAGACCGTGTTTCACTGAGTTGCTTTGGGTTATCATTTGCCCCAACAATGCTTAGTTTAAACATAGTAATAATAGTAATGACACAGGTACTGTTAAGTGCTAATAAATGTACTTCTAACAGTAGCGGTAATGACTGTAACAGTACTGACTGAGTTTGCTCATGCAGTTGCGCAGGCGGCTGTCGAGGCTGATGACTCTCTGGTAGAGCTGCTCGTAATCGTAGGCCCCCAGCTCCTCCTGGATGCCCGTCAGAACAGCTGACAGGTTCCGGATCTCCTCTTTGAACTGGGAGATTAGCTTAGCATCTGTTTTGTACTGCTCCAGCACGGGGATCAGCGGCTGCAGTTCATCCATCCGGTCCTTCAGCTCCTACACACGCACACACACAGCAGAAACACATGTACACAGGCGCTTATACATACACGCGCAGCAGGCAGCTGAGGAGGGATTTGCTTTGTTGGACGAGCCTCTGAGCTTCACTGCTGTTTGTTTATGGGGAAAAAAGTGACATTCAACAAACAAGTGTAGCTGTGCATTAACAATGACAGTCAGCACATCGCAGAGGCTTTCAAATGCAGCAGCTTGACAAATGGATGTCTGTCCGTCTGTCTGTCTGTCTGTCAAACTGTCCATCTAGTTGTGTGAAAAAAAAGTGAAGTATTTGAAATATCTGGATTTATAAATATTATCAGGATTTCTGAATAAATGGTGCTTTAAAACATGAATGTTTATCTTGGACATAATAATAAATCAAGATATTCTCTTTCCAACAGCGCCTTTGTATATGATCAATGGTTTTTAATGCCTTAAATGTCCAAAATTATATTACACCCTTCTATGACCCAAGAAGGGCTCAGTCAGTTTGCACTGAAGTCCCTGTATTTACTGAATAATAAGACTTAATATGTAATAAACCTGAGGTTTTAAGGGGTTAAACAATCTAAGTAATTGTGGAATGTAATAACCATTGCCTAATTAAACTTGAGTAATTGTGGAAATTGAGGAATCAAGTGCTTCCTCTGGCTGCAGTGCAGTAATTAGGGTTTATTTTGGCCCATATTCACTAGAAAACAGATTCCATTTCAATGTATGCAAAAGTTTGAACACCTTAGATCAAAATACACATTTTGTTGATTGTCTAAGTGAAAATAAGTTAACATTTACAGGGAATAAATGTATTTATGACACTTTTCTGCACATTTTAATAAACATTTTCCATTAATTTATTTTTCAACATATTGGAAAAAATAAACATATTAAAAACACTTTCCATTACTTTTGCACATGTGATATTTTGTTTTATTTTATATGTTGTAATTCAGAAAAAAAGCAATAAAACATGTAATTTGACCAGGAGCGCCAAAATTTTTGCACAAAACTCTTTATTCCCAGCAGTGTGGAATTTTATATATATTATGTATATTTCTACACCAATCAGGCATAACATTATGACCACCTCCTTGTTTCTACGCTCATTGTCCATTTTATCAGCTCCACTTACTATATAGGTGCACTTTGTAGTTCTACAGTTACAGACTGTAGTCCATCTGTTTCTCTGCATACTTTGTTAGCCCCCTTTTACCCTGTTCTTCAGTGGTCAGGACCCCCATGGACCCTCACAGAGCAGGTACTATTTGGGTGGTGGATCATTCTCAGGAGGATCATTCTCAGGAGACACAGCAGGAGTTTTTAAACACTGTGTCCACTCACTGTCCACTCTATTAGACACTCCTACCTTGTCAGTCCACCTTGTAGATGTAAAGTCAGAGACGATAGCTCATCTGCTGCTGCTCAGTTTGTGTTGGTCATCCTCTAGTCCTTCATCAGTGGTCACCGGACGCTGCCCACAGGACGCTGTTGGCTGGATATTTTTGGTTGGTGGACTATTCTCAGTCCAGCAGTGACACTGAGGTGTTTAAAAACTCCAGCAGCACTGCTGTGTCTGATCCACTCAGACCAGCACAACACACACTAACACACCACCACCACGTCAGTGTTACTGCAGTGCTGAGAATGATCCACCACCCAAATAGTACCTGCTCTGTGAGGGTCCATGGGGGTCCTGACCACTGAAGAACAGGGTAAAAGGGGGCTAACAAAGTATCAGAGAAACAGATGGACTACAGTCTGTAACTGTAGAACTACAAAGTGCACCTATATAGTAAGTGGAGCTGATAAAATGGACAGTGAGAGTAGAAACAAGGAGGTGGTCAGAATGTTATGCCTGATCAGGGTGTGTGTGTGTGTGTATATATATGTGTGTGTATATATATGCCTGCTGTTGAGGGAAAACCTCATATCTCCTTTTTTCATTTTTCAGTTTTTGACCTAGTTTGAAAAAGCCTGTTGCCCTTTACGATGTGTCGAAGGTTCATGATAAACGATAAACTGACCAACAGAAAATGTCCATAATGACTTGGAAAAATATATTTCTCCTTTACTTCCATTGAAAGTTAAGAGTGTTTTTCCTTCTCCTGTAAAGTTACCTGTATGTACATACATACACACACTGGAAGAATATTAAATAACAAAAACAAAAGTGTCTGCATGCTTGTTTCCCCACACATGTTAAACATTTCAAGATGAATGGTCCAATAGATATGATCCAGAATTACTTCCACTAAAGTCTCGCTACATTGAATTTAGTTGTCATTTTACAGATGTGAAAATTTATGACAGCAAAGATCCATAGAATACATAGAAATATCAGTAATGGAAAGGAGAATTTACCTTAAAGTTTCTGGCCATGATGGTTTTGCGATCTTCCTCAATCTGTCTGAACTTGGTCCTGAGCCCCTTCATCTGGTTCTCCATCTTCATCACATACTGGAAGTCCCTCTGTGTCCTCAGGTTTAGGACTTCAATGGACTGGGACATGTTCTGCACCTGCATCATGCAAACAGCTGAGTTACCAAGCTGCACTGGCCCTCATTCTCCATGTACTGCACTTTTAGCTGCGGAGCACCTAATGGACCTGGCTTATAACTCCATCACTCACTCACGTTTAAGAGGTGTTAAATTCTCCACAAGGGGATCGAATAGCTTTTAATGCTCTGGCCTTCAAGCCAAGTCTGGTGAGTTAAAGTCCATGATTTAACACACTCTTAAATTCATCAGCTAATTAATCTATCTGTGCTCCTCCCACAAGTGTGTTCAATTATAGCTACCATTGCCAAGCTGGTCAAGCTGTGCATGATGTTGCAAAAAGTCACATTCAAGCTACAAAGAGACTGTGAGACATATTCAACCCTAAATGTAGGTATTGTGATATAAACCGAGTCTGTTCTACAGTTTCTCATTAGGTTGAATGAATAACCGACTCTAAATGTAGGTATTGTGATATAAACCGAGTCTGTTCTACAGTTTCTCATTAGGTTGAATGAATAACCGACTCTAAATGTAGGTATTGTGATATAAACCGAGTCTGTTCTACAGTTTCTCATTAGGTTGAATGAATAACCAGCTCTAAATGTAGGTATTGTGATATAAACTGAGTCTGTTCTACAGTTTCTCATTAGGCTGAATGAATAACTGACTCTAAATGTAGGTATTGTGATATAAACTGAGTCTGTTCTACAGTTTCTCATTAGGCTGAATGAATAACTGACTCTAAATGTAGGTATTGTGATATAAACTGAGTCTGACAACAACTGGGTTAAATCACTTCAGGCCCAAGTATGACCTGTTCACTACTCTACTAGTTCTACTAGTTCAACTGATCTATATAATAGAAAGCTGGCCATTGTAACAATAGAGGAAGAAAGAAAGAAATATGAAATTGAAAGAAAGAAAGAAAGAAAGAAATATAAAATTGAAAGAGAGAAGGATATATAAAATTGAAAGAGAGAAGGATATATAAAATTGAAAGAAAGAAAGAAAGAAAGAAAATAACATAAATATGAAATGAAAAAAGAAAGAAACGAAGAAAAAATAAAGAAGAAATAAAATAAAGAAGTAAGAAATAGACAGAAAGAAATGGAAATGAAGAAAGAAACAGAAATGGAAATGAAGGAAGAAAGTAAGAAAGAAAGAAACAAACAAACAAACAAACAAACAAAGAAAAAAGAAAGAAAAGAATAAGAAATGAAAATAAAGAAATAAATAGAAGAAAGAAAGGGAAAGAAGGAAATAAAGGAAGAAAGAATATCATGCAATTTTTCACCCTATTCATTTCTTCATTTTCCACCTGTTCTCTCAAGTCGTCCTCAGCTGATCTAATCATTTCTCCATCCAACCTCCATAGCTTTGGAGATCAGGCATTTTCTAGATTTGCACATTGTCCCTGGAACACTCCTCCTCCACAACTCCGGCAGTCGGACTCTCTTTCCATATTTAAATCAAATCTCAAAACCTTTTCTCTGTAGCCTACAACACACTGAACTAATCCCACCTTCTCATTACATCCCTACCTTGACTTCTTCACCATTTTCTACTTTGTTATTGTTTTCTCGTTTGTCTTCTGAGGTTCTCTGTATTATTATAATGGAAACCTTTGGGTTTTTGAAAAGCGTCATATACAGTGATGGCCAGGAATGTTAGCACTTTTACAGTCTTTCCAGATGATGCACCAATTCTTCCATAAAAAGCTTTGTTATTCATGTGTGTATTTCCTTTGTTTTCATTGAAACAACACAAAAAAGCTAAGAAAAAAAAAAAGTTAAATCTGATCTTGTTCCATACAGAACTCTGAAAATGGACTGGGCATTATTGTTGGCACCTTTTAGAAATGGTAAGAGATCTTAAACCTTATTTAATTTGTAATAAACACACTTTTGATGAGTTACAAGTGTAGAAAATACAGAAATCATAGTTTTCCAAACAATTTCAAAATCTGAACAGTTTCTCTCTTTTTTTTTTTTCTTTTAAAGAAAAAGTTGTAGCCAGTTTCGATAGAGAAAAGTTGAGGCAGCCTTTGTGTTGCGTGTCCGTGTGTACCACACTGACCACAGAGAAAAGAAGAGGAAAGAGGAAAGAACTGTCTGAGGACTGCAGAAATTGTAGAAAAGCTTGGGCAATACACAGCCCATCTCAGGAGATCTGAATGTTTCAGTATCCACTGTACACAACATCAGCGAGACGTTTGCAGCCCATAACACTGTAGCTAACCTCTCTGGACGTAGAAAGAAGAGATGAGAGAAATGAGAGAAAGCAGTGAAGGATTGTTCAAATCGTGCAGAAAGAACCTCTATCAACTTTTTAACAAATTCAAGCTGAGCTACAGAAACACGGTACAACAGTGTCAGCTTCCACCAGGAGAACGTCCTGTGGACAGATGAGACAATAGATCTGTTTGATAAAGCACATCATTGCTCTGTTTACAGAAAATGAAATAAGGCCTTTAAAGAAAGGAACGCAGTCCCTACAGTCAAACATGGAGGAGGATCACAGTTGTTTTGGGATGCTTAGTTGCTTCTGGCATCGGGTGCCTGAAATGTACGAATGGTATCATGAAATCTGAGCAACACCAAAGAATTTTGGAACACATTGTAGGTACAGTGTCAGTAAGCTGGGTCTTGCAGGACAATGACCCAAAGCATACATCAGAAAGCCCTCGGAAATGGTTTAAGACAAAGTGCGGGACTGTTCTGAAGAGGCCATCAGTGAGTGCGTTTACATGCACTCAATAATCCGATCATAATCTGATTTCTGCAGTTATCTGTTTATTCAAATGGTCGTGTGAACAGCATACTCTAATTTTTTAGATCGGAGGAAGGTCTTGAAATCTAATTAAGAAATCTGATAAAGAGGCTGGATTTTAGCTCAGTAATCAGATTTCTCAGTGCATGTGAACTCTTACTCTGATTTCTTTCGGATTTCTCAGTCTGCGCATGTGTGAAAACAAACTGAGCTACTGGAAATAAGCGAGCAGAGTCGCCGTCAGACGCAGCAAAACAGTGTTGGAGTGACGCTGAAACTGAATACATGCTTGATGAAAAGAAGGATTTATGAAGGATGTATGTTCATATTTCCAGGTAAAATGGCGCAATTAAGAAGCCGTGGCGAGAAGTTTGAGTTTTACGTCACGTCTTCTTCTGTGAGTTTATTGGCCGGTTACAAAGCAGAAATCTGGTTACTGCCCGACTCATGTAGACCTGGAGTTTCCCCATTATCTGATTACTCAAGTGCAAATAAATGTGATGATCAGATTACTGACAAAATCTGATTTTCTGCAGTTATCAGATTACATGATTTAGTGCATGTAAACACACTTAGTGAGTCCAGATCTCAATCCCATAGAACACCCATGGAGAGATCTCAATGCAGCAGAAGGCACCCTTCAAATATGGGAGGCCTGCAGCAAATTGCAAAAGAAGAGTGGTCCAAAATTGCAGTAGAGAGGTGTAAGAAACACATTTATGGCTATAGGAAGTGCTTGATTTCAGCTATTCTAAAGCGCATGCTGCCGAATGTTGCAGAAGTTGAGGGCGCATAATTTTTTATCGTTATGGCAAAACCGCTTTGGACAGTTTCAACCGTTTTTTGGAGTCAATTGAATTATTTTATAGCGGTTTCTGAGTTATTTGGAAGAACATTTTCAAGTATCATGTATCACTGTTGTCATTATTATTAAACAGATCAATGGAAACGTACCAGTATTGAATTGTTTTGCTACAGCAGAATTCTAGTTTTGTGGCTACACTGTCATAAATAAAGGTTCTGTTCAGGTACATTTTTTTGTTCATCAGGGTACAAACAGTGTGAATGTTCCCTCAAAGGTCCAACAGTGGTTTTAAGGTCTGATTGCGAACCTTAAATAAGTTTTTCCAGGTGAAAAGTTCATATTTGTACCTTTTCATAACCGAATGTTTTAAAACAGAACAGTAAAATAAAAGCCTGGAGACGAGACGGGGTGTGTGGAGTCAGTACAGCTTAGAACATATCATTTCAGTGGATTATGGCTCAGTTATGTTCCCTGACTAAAGGTACTGAGATGGACCCTTGAGGGCACCACCCCAGTGACAAGAGGGGCCCTGCCCCAGAGACAGTTTACTACCTTTATTTCTGAGAGTGTACTGAGCACTGACTGGTTGGCTGAGTAAAGTTGTTCACACTCACTGGCATAAATGCACATAAGTTGCAGTTAGAAATTCCTATACCTGGATTTTAACTGGTTAAAAGTGTTTAAAATGAGGATAGAAAAAAATACAATTTCCAAAAAGCAATTATACACAAAAGCTCCATAGGAACCCATTTATTTTGGACTTTCTAGAAGACATAACTAAGTGGCAGTTCTCCACTCTACGCCTTCTCTGGTACAGCTCTGCGGCCCTCCAGGTCCAGACTTCAGCTGTCTTTTGTCAGCGGGCCAGTCTGATTGAGGAAGTTACGCTGTTCCCTCGCCTAATTTGGCATCGCCACTGGTTCTCCCTCAGACCGTCCTGCAGTAATGAATGTTTAAAAAGTTGGATGATGAACAGCCTTTGGCCACTGAGGTGCGCTTCTAATCTCGGGTGTTTCCTCCTTATCTCACAGTCCGACCAGCCGCGGTACACGAGAGCGAGGAAAACGCATAAATCACAAACAAGAAAACGTCTTCTGCGGGTTCAAAGGCAGTAAAGCGAACGGAGATGTTAATAAATCTACATATTAATGTTAGCGGCTTGTGCCGTCCCGTGGGATTAAGCATATGTCATTAATCATTAATACAGGTATTAAGTACACTGCTTGGAAAGAGCTCTTTACTGCAGCAGAGGAATCGGCAGTCAGAGCTTAGTGACTGCGCCAGTGCTGATAAAGAGGGGAGACTGAGCAGGGGAAATGGGGGGTAATGGGTTGGAGAGAGTAGGTTATGGGTTGAGGAGAACAGCTTGGATGGATGAATGTGTGTCAGTGCAGCGCTCTGTGTTTGAGCTCAGCTGTAGTGCTTCTCCTGAAAGGTGTGGAAC